GTGCGTGTGTACTGCGATGATCGTACGGTGGTACGTGAGCAGATGTAGCAGGTGTTACATCTACTTCATAGGCTGAGGGGCCAGTGAAGAAATGTTAGAAACTGGGGTCGAGTAATAATGCATCAAAGTTATTTTTTCCTTATATTTTGAGACCTCATGTAGAGGGAACTATATAGTATAATTTTGGGTATTTTGAATATTATAAACTAAATGTAATATTATATTATTCTGTTGGATATTTGTTGTAAGAAACTTTGTTTTATTTTAATTGAGAAGAGAATTTCATACTTATATTCTCTATTATTTATTTATCTTAAATAAGTATGTGATGTACAAACAATGTTCTCAGTTCCTTACAAAAAAGGGTCGTGATAGAGAAGATTTGATATTTTTTTCTTCCACAAAATTAAGTTATTGCCTTCAAAGTTAATAACACTTATGAGATCATGTCTCTCTATTGTTATCAGTACTTCATATTTAAATTTATTTAGGCTAAATTAGTAGATTAGTCTATTAATTCTTAATTTAATTTTAGTTTATTTTTAAAATTTTTTTCTAATTTCAATATCTTACAAAAATGTTTCAAATAAAGTATTTTTCATCAAATTATTAATTTTGTTAAAAAAATTACTATTCATTTTCTTATTTCTTATGAACTCCAGGAAAATAAATATAATGTATTCTAGTAAATATTGTAGTTTTCCTTTTCTTTTTTCATATTTTACCTTTCATCCACTCCTTATGACCTGTTTTCTCTTCTACTTCTTTTTCAAACTCTAACAAAACATTTTCTCTTGCTATTTTTTCTCATTTTACTCCTCAATTATGCTCCCTTCCCCTTTTAAACTTCAAAAATATTTTCTTCTGGTGAATTTTTCCTAGAGTGAGCTAGGTAACCATAGTAGCATCGTATCAACCTCGATGTCATCGTCATTGTTGTCTCATTCCCTTTCTTCTCTTAAAATCTCAAGATCTAACTTAAAAAATCATCAAAAAAGAAAAAATAAATAAATTTAAAGAAGGTGAAAAATGATTTATACATGCATGAATGAGAAGGGTAGGAATAAAAAAAGAAAGAAAAAGATAATATTTTTATTGGAGTTCAAAGAAAAAAAAGAAATAGTTTGTGGAAACATAAATGAAAAGAAAAAAGAAAACTACAAAATTTGTTAGAATATAGTATGTTGTGTTAACGTTCAATAAAAAAAGAGAAACAAATTTTTTTAAGAAGTTGGCATTGTTTATCAATAAAAAAGAATGACTTATTTAAAACATTTTTGTTAGTATAATTATTTTATTTAAAATTTAATTGATTGATAATATATATATATATATATATATATATATTAGATCAATATAGTGAGTTTAATTTAATTTAAAATCTTAAATTCGAGTCACTAGAAATGCATTTATTCTAAAAAATAATTAGAAGGAAGGTTCATGTAGAAGAAAATGATTTTTATAAAAATAAGAGATCAAGCTACAAATAATCTCAACAAAATGACAGTTTTTGTTTCCTTGATATAATTAAAAAAATTTCAAATGGATTACGAGTATTTAAAATGTCATTCTACTTATCATATCATTTAAAATATTACAAGAATCATAACAAATTAAATGGTTATTAATAGGTGCTAGAAATCGTTTTGAATTGATTTAATTAACGTATTAACTTTAGAAATATTGATAAATTAATTTGAAATCTTTGCTCTCTATCCTCTATCATCTAATGTTGCAATTCGTAATCAGTTAATTTCTTTACAGACTATTTTAAGAATAAAAATAATTAATTATTTATAAATATAATTGATTAAATTGATGAAAATAAATCTCTGATTAAATATCACTTATCTTAATGGATAAAAGGTTTTAAGCCCAATTAGTTATGTTACAGTTGATTAATTATGTTTTAAATTATCATATCCTTGCACACACATGTAAGTATATTTGAGTTCTGAAAAAAAATAGAAACATAAATTTTTGATGATCAAGATTGTAACACCCAGCATTTTTAAGCATTAATTGAAGAATTATTTAATATTAAGTGTGATTAGAATGGGTTTGGATTGAATTTCTAAGTGTTTGATGGAGGTGACGTACATGAATTCTTGCTCAAGCTAGAAGGATGAATCTCAAACCTTCACTTTTATAGGCCCCTCACTTAAGCGAGGGCAATGTCGGCAAATTTCGCTCAAGCGAGATATTTTCAATCAAGTGAGATCTATGGTGGTTTGTGAAGTGAGCTCTATATAAAAGGATTCCCATGTACAAAATTTTTCATTTCCTAACTTCCCTTAAGCTCTCAAGAGACTCAAACCCTTAGATTTTCATTCTCTCATATTAAACCTCTCTAAACTTAAATTTTTCTCCAGATCTGGGATCGTACGTTTATTCTAAGTGATTCGAAGTAAGTTTCTCTAATTTTGAATATAGATTTACCTTTTATTTCTCTTCATCTCAAATTTCTTATAGATATCTTATGATTTTTAGGATAAACTTTGATTTTGGAGCAAAATCTTCGGTTAAATCTTTGATAAATCCTTATCTTAAGGTAAGGGGCTTTACTTTATCATTTTGTTATGGATATTATTGTGTTCTTATGGATCTTGTTATATATATGATTATATGTGGAATAATCCTTATTTTATGAAAAATAATCGGTGAAAAGTGAGAATAATTGGTTGTTTATGTGATTTTATGATGAATATATGAAAATATATGGTGAAAATATGTTATTATGTCTAAATAGTGCATAATAAGGTATATTGAGGATGGTGGATATGATGTTATGATTTTGTAATATGAATTGTTCATAGAAAAGGATGCGTCATATTTGAATATATTATGGTTGATGTAAAAATGATGTATGTTGTGAATATGCCATGGTTTGATGTATATGATGAAAAGTATGTGGAAGCATAATAAAAAGTATGTGTGAACATGACAAATGACATATGTGAACGTGTGAATATACTCGAAAGAGTATGAGATGCAAATGGATATGATGTAAATAGTTACAGAGATACATTTAGAGTGTGAAAGATGGAGACGATATAGATATCTTGGAGAAATGCAGGGTGATGAGTGACATTCGGGGTTGTGCACAGAATATTGTGGACGAATGCACCACATGACTACACACTCGTTTCTCTACTTGACTCCTGACCATTACCTTTGTTAAGGGTCTGTCTATTGCATGCGTTGTATCCATATTGCATTGAGCCATCTAGCGATTATTTACATAGATATTTAAGATCTCAAGATAGAGACATCAGATAACTGCCATAGGGTGAGGTGAGTGCGGATAAGAAAAAAGAAATTGTGAATCTAGGTAATATAATATATGTACATGTTTTCTAAAATATTTATGAATCAATGAAATTTTACTTTATAAATCATAAATCATTTCATTACTTCTTTCTCGTTAGAGAGTTTACGAAAGAAATTTATTTTAACATTTAAATTTTCATAAAAATTATTATATATTGACGAAAGAAATATAAGGCGTTACAAAGGTCATATTTAAGAAAACTATTTCTTGAGTTTTCTACTTAATTGATCTTCAAATAGGTTATGTATACTTTATAAAAAACGTAATTTTCTAAAATATTATACCATTATAAAAGAATAGACATCTATTTATGTCTAGAGAAGGTAAGACATTCTTTTTAATTTTAAAGATGAGAGTGAAAAATTTTAACTTAGTGATCAAGAATGTTAATCTTCAAAAAATTAGTATAATCAAGGCCTTATAATGTACAAGATACATTAGCTAAATCTTATATTGTAATTAGTGACTTGATGTAAGTCACAGTAACAATGGCTAAACCATAATAAATCAATTTTTTTATTCTTTATTAATATTATTATGATTGATTAAAACAATATCAATGAAGTATATAAAAAATGCTGCATCAATCCTTACACATTCAGGATGAAAACATCTTACTTATTCACTTTGTAACAAATTTATTCCACAAGAGTTTTATCTATTTTACTTCTATTTTTCAAAAAAAAATTTGGTATAAGCGAAAATGCTAATTTGCAAATGTGAAGTCATTGTTTTACTGATTTAAAAATAATAGCTCAAATAATAAGTATAACAATAATAACACTAATAATAAAGAAAAAATAGTATTTTGATTCTCTAATATTATTTTTTATTTCAATTTTTTTATTAAATTTTTTAATTTTTTTTAATTTTTTTAATTTTTAATTTTGTCTCAAGTTAATCTTTTCATTATAACATTGTTAATTTTAAAAAATTTCACCAAAATTTGAATTTTTTTTAATAATTGTTAAATTTGATCGAAGAAATCTTCTATGACCAACATATAAACAATTTGAATCATTTTGTCAATTAAAATAAGATATTAAAATGTGGATTACCGTGTGATTAGTCTTTATTTTCATCAAAATTTGATTTTAAACACTCATTTTTTTGTTATTTTTTTAAATGAGTATTGAAAATGATTGAGAGATTTTTAAATTTTGAGTTGCAACCATCATATTAAAATTTTATGTGATTTTGTTAATTAAAATGAGAGATCAAGTTAAGCTATTCTTTAAGTTTCATTTTGCTTCAATTATAATTTTTGTATATTTTAACAACAATTATTCAAATTTCTTTAAGACTTTTACTCATTATTAAATTTCAGAACAATTATACACAATAGTCTTTCACATGAGAAACAAAGTAAAGCTGTAAAGCGACACCCAAACATTGTAATACTCATTCACTTTATTCGCATCTAAAACTATTAAATCTATTACAACTTTATTCAATTTAATTATTTCAAATAGGAAGGAGAAATTCAAACAAAATACATTTAATTAATCCATTTAATCACGTAGTAGTGAGGAGCACCAGAGGTCCACCGGTTGACAGTGCTACCGCAACTTTATTCTACATACAACAAGAGAGAATTGTTAAATGCATCATAACAATACCTTAGGATGTTAATAACACGTTATGTGTCATATACCCCGTAACACAATGCCTAAGGATAGACCTCAATAAGAGATCTAAAACCAAAGATGGGAAATATTTTGTAGTGATTGAATCCTGATTCGATGAAGAGTTGTTTCCATTCTTTTTCAGTTCTCTCTCTTCCATTAATAGTCAACATAATTATATCCATGCTGAGCTTTGTTTGAGTCATGTCTTGCTCATCTGACTTTTCATTTATTATTGTATCTATGATAATTACTTTTCCTCCTTTGCCTTTGCTTGAAATACAATCTTTACATTTTTTCAAGATCTTTATGCAATTTTCATCGGTCCAATCATGTAAAATCCACTGCAACAGAGAAGAAAATAATACAAAACCAATTAAGGATTTTTAATTCTCTTCTGGTTGTGTTTAAATGAGATAATTAAAAACTTTAGATGTGTACAGATGTGTGTACCTTGAGTAGAATTGCATCCGCTTGAGGGATAGATTGGAACATGTCACCGCCAACAAAACTCAAATTATTGGTTCCAGACAAGTTCACCACAACCTGAGGAAGGTCAAACACAACACACTTCAACTTAGGAAATGCCTCAGAAATAATTCTGGCTGTGGTTCCAGTTCCACCGCCTACATCCACGATGGAATCTAGCCCTTCAAACACTGAACTACAATTTTTCAATGCCAAGTCAACCATTTGGGAATCACTTGCCATTGCACTATTAAAAAGACCCATATATGCAGGCTTTTTCTCAAGAAGTTCCCAAAAGCTTGTTCCAAAGGCTGTCTCAAATATTGTGGGGTCATCCCCACGTATCCATTCCCCTAACTGATGGTATTTATTCAGCAGAAGGGGATCAGTGAATGCTAAAACCATTGGAGATAAACAATGGTCACTGCTTTTCACAAGTAGCTTTGATGCAATGGTTAGACCATATGCTAATTCATGATTTTCTTGGCTTTCATGGATAGCAAAGATTCCATTGTGTGCCAAAAACCGCATGAACCGATGCACATAACTAGCTTTAGCCGGTGGAATTTCCAGAATTGACACCAATTCGGGAAGAGTAATGGGTTTCCCATGATTGTTTATTACGTCGGGTATACCTAGTTGGATAACCCACTCAAGACACATAGTTCTTAAGTAGCCAAATGTCTGCATGTATAGAAGAGCTTGGCCTTCAAACAGCTCCATCTCTTTTTGGCTATTCGTTGAATCCATAACTACTGTAATCAATATTTGTTTAAACTCTTTTGCTTTGTTTCCATAAGCAGCATTGGTTTGCCTTATATAGTGTTTTAGAGCCCTCTAATTGACAAAGAGCTCACTGACTAAACCCTTTTCTTTTTTATTAATTTTGAACCAGGCTGCATGATATTTTAGACCAAAGATATTCTGAACTACTCAAAATGCCTTATCACTAACAGCTAACCTATTGATTTGATCCCTTGCAAAAGAATATTTCTGTATCCACTTTTTCTCTTTCTTATGTAAATGAGGCTGCGTTGGATATATCATATATAAATGGGGCTGCTCTTAGATTTATTTTATATATATGTACGTACTTGTATCATACCAATTAATCAAAGTTCTTATATTTGAATTGACTTCGTAATGAACGTATAATTTTTTTTCTTCTTATTATTTACTATTAAGTATGGTTGAATGAATAGTTGATTCATTATAATTATATATATTGATAAAAGTAACTCGTGGACCAACTCATCAATTCGCGAATCTAACTTATTTAATCCGTAATTTAAATAAATTCAGCTAAAAAGTTCATATCTGAATGAACCTTGTATTATTATATAGTCTTAATCCCCTTAAGATATGGACTAAACAATCTGGCGTGCAAACTTAGACCTAAATACCTTAGCCTAGTTGAGAGACTAGCAAGACATAATTCTGTGACCCGAAAAAGAACCACATAACCCATTCTTGATGGTATTTCGTAAAATAGTTATGTTAAAAGGACTTTCTATATAAAATATTCATAAAAAAGAAAAAGGATTTTTAAAATAACAAAATTTTAATTTAGATATAATATTAGTGTAATATTTTTTATATTATTAAGTAATTAAAACTTATCTTAAATATAACTTTTGAAATTATTATAACAAAAGTCAATGCTTGTATTTATATGTCAATTTTGAAAATGATCATACAGTTTATTTTTATATTTCCAACACATTACAATGAAAATCAAATAGTAATTATAACTAAAAAGGGTTAATAAAATGTGAAAAAAAAAAAAAACACATCCAAGCACCACTAAACACAGATCAACAAATACAGAGTTGTTTTAATTTAATATATAATTTTAATTTCAAGATACTGTAGGAAAAAAAAAATACACACACAGGCACGCTCAGTCAGAATATCTTTTACAAACTAGAGGAAATGTTTAAGAGAAAATATTTATACACTTATTTAATCTATTTATTGTCAAGTCTTACACATACATAAAAATAAAAGGAAAATTTTTTTTTTTGACAGTACTATTCTTAATCATCAACAGATGACAACAGAAAGGTAAGACAAAAGTAATACAGTATCACAAACTGTTCCATATATTTAAATTTAAAATTTAAAATCAACACATCGTGTAATATTGTATTTTTAAGGGCTCTTTATTTTATGATTTTCTTAAATTATAAAATATGATTTTTTTTATAAAATTATAGAAATATAGTTTTTTTATAAAAATTATCATAGACTTTCGAGTGTTTTTTTTATACTTTTTTTAATATTTAATTATTATTTTAAAAATTATTATATGCGACTTTTGATTTTTTTTAATTTCTAAATATATTTTAAAAAAATTGTCATTAACAATTTTTAATACTTTATCATTTTTTTAATTTTTTATTTCTAAATTTGTATATTTACACTAAAAAATTGTATTGTTTATTTTTACACCTCATATTTCTGTAATTTTCTAAAAACATCATATTTTATTATATATATATATATCCCAAAAATATATCTAAAAAGTAAAGGAGATTAGCTATCCTTAGGTTGCTCAAAAATAATTTTTCTCTTACAAATTCAGTCATTCATTTTCGTCAATGTGCACGAATATTTGGTTCATTCAGTTTAAGAACAACAAAAAATCAATATAAAACAATTAAGATTTTAGTGTTTTACTACTTTCCTATCAGCTCATAAAACATCAAAATTCTTCATTCATTTGGCGATAGTCAATTTAGTTGACCAATCATGGTTTAATCTAACATAAAATTCACTTTATTTCATTTTTGGTTGAAATTAGCATAATTGGAGCTCAAAGTAATGTTACAAAACAACTCTATTACAAATTTCCAAACATGTGTGTTTAGCTCAACGGAGGGTTATTGATCTTAACGAATTAACTATTCAATCTTTTGTTGTACAGAAAATGCTTATGTATTGGTTTGGTCTACGTTACTCCATCATCTGCCTAAGATGGTTGACGATTCTCAACAAATATAGAAAAATAATAACATCGGATGAAGACTTAAAATATAGATTATAACATTCAACGGTCCACGATATTTATTAATTGGTAGGATAAATTTAACGGAAGATGATATTTTAATTCATAGTAAAAGAAATTGCAATCTTTCATATCTATAATTGAAATAAATAAATAAATAAATAAAACGGTCTTGAATGGCAACTTTAATATAATTAAAAAACGGCGCTTATTTCTATATACATTGTGTGTATCATCGAGACTAATATTTTATTATTATTAAAAAATTATCTCTTTTAATAATTTTTTATATATATAATTAGTAATCAAACTTTGGCCAACATAATTATCTGTATCAAAATTGTTTTGTTATTTCTTAACTGGTGTGATCCCTATTTATCTGCTCTATTTGTTCTTCTGCATGTATTTTATGCTTCGCTAGTGAGACGCTATAAAACGCTTAATTTCTTATGCATCTTTGGGTCCTGAATTATAGTTTTTTTTTTCTTAAAAGACAAGCAAGTTCAAATAGAAAATATTAACAACTCAGTTAATTAAGTTATCTAATTTTTCATAGAGTTTTTTTTTTATTTCTTTAGAATTCTTCTTCCTAAAAAAATGGATTTTTAATACCGAAGAAATTAATGATGGATTTTAAAAAAAATAATGATTTTGGTTTTTGTCTCTAATCAAATATGATTCCCCCTTTTCTGAAAATTTTAAATTTATGTGTGTTATGCTGATTGAAAAAAATATTATGCCATGTGAAAAAACTAAAATCTTAAAAATGAGATATTAAGAGCATGTTTGTTTGCAATTTTTAAAAAAAGTTTGCTAATTTTAATTTTTGAAAAAAGTAAACTCTTTTTTAAAAAATGCAAAATTTCAAAGAAACATACCCTAAAATATTTTTAATGTTAACAAAGGGCATATAACAACCTGTGAACTCAGATCTAAATATTCAGAATTAGAAAAAGAGAAGAGGCAAGACAAAATTGAAAAAAGGGAGGATGACAATGATACTACCTAGCTATGTCATACCCTATCTAAAGATATACACACTTAAAAACATATTCAAAATCATATTCACACATATAGTAATTTAGACTCGTATCCACAACAAAATGTATTCTCCTTATTTTAGCTAAACAAAATTTGACTTAAATGCACTTCTTATATCCACACATCTATATGCGATTTTCATCTTTTAATTTTAGTTGCTTTTATTTAATTCTCTTATTTTTTTAATTGTTTAATTACTTTTTTATTTTAAAAATTTATTTAATAATTAATAAAATGTAATTTCGACACACAGGGAGATACCAATACCCCCTTTATAAGAATTAATAAATAATAAATAAATGCATCTATAAAATATACATCATGAATTACATAAAATTAATAATATAATTTATTATTTAAGATTTTTGTAAGTTTTAATTAACTATATAGTTAAAAAAAGTTATTTTTTTTATAAATATTTAAGATTCTATTTTATTTTTATTATATTTATTTCTATGATAACAGGTGAGTTTATATCTAAATACGTAAAAATAATTTAAGATTTTAATAAAATATTTAACTTACATTAACATAATTATTAATCACTACACTAGAACAGAAATCTGAGAGCGGTTCTATTTTGAATTAGAGAGCATTTAAAACTGTTCTAAAATTTTGCGCTATTTAATGTGTTATATTTAAAAAAACGGTTAAACAACTGGTCTCAAATGTTAAGATTTAAGAGCAGTTCCATGTGGAACCACTCTCCAAAGTATAGATGTAAGATTAGAGAGCGGTGTGAAACCGCTCTCTAAAGTATAGATGTAGATCGCGAATTTAAAATTTGAAATTGATTTCTTTTTTATTTTTTGTTGCAAAATAAAATTATTTTATTATTACATTTAAATCAAAATTTAGAATTGATTTTTTTGTAAGTTTTCTTCATTTTTATCACAAATCAAAATTGAATCTTGAGTTTATACATTTGGTGTTAACCAAGTAGTCCATATCTACATGAACCAAACACAAGTAAGCAGAGAAAAAAGAGAACAAATTAATAGAATAATTTTTAACATTAATAAAGAGAAAAAAAAAAGAGAAAATGAAGAAGTACCAACAAATGTGAAAAAAATCAATTTGTTAGTGTAGAGAAGATGAAGAGAGAAGACTAGCAGAGAATGAAGAGGTACTTATAGATATGAAAAAAAACCAATTTGTTAGCGAGAGAAGATGAAGATAGCAGACTAACAAAGAAGATGAAGAGAACATAAAAGAGTAGAGAAGAAACTTATAGTAAAAGAGACCAGCTTCATTAGTTAAGAAGAAAAAATGCGTCTGAGCGTGTTTCATTTATAAATGATTTTAATAACATTAGAGAGTAATTCTTTATTAACCTCTCTCCAAGAATGAGATTAGAGAGCGGTTCTTTATTAACCGCGTGTGATTTTAGAGAGCGATTAATAGAGAATCGCTCTCAGAAGTATAGTTCTGAGAGCGGTGATAAATCCACATTTTACTACATTTTTATACATCATTTATTACTTTTTATAGAAAAGAATAGACTTAGATAGTGTAAATAAGATGAATATTCCAATTAGGCTAAACAATATAGATTCCTTAGTTTTTGGTTAATTTACATTGATTTAGATAGTTTATTTTACATGTTTTGATCATTTAAATAATGTGGCAGGAATCTCCAAGCTTATTTTGAAGAACTATTGGATTTTGATGAATTTAAAGTGAAAGTAACTACTTTCAAGAT